TGCACTCGCTGGTGACGCTGTTTCCAAGGGCGTATTCTCTAAGACATCGCTCGGACTCGACCTTGTTGATGTTGACACCTCTGGGACCCAAGTTTTTGATCATGGCGCCGGTCGCGGCGTTGAGAGTCACCATGTTGGTCCTCTTCTCGCCCGTGTAAACGATCCCGTTCATATGGAGGCCGCTGTAGGTTTCAACCAGCTGTTTCATGGTCATAGTCATTTTGGTCAGCTGGGGACCCGAGTCGCTCGGTCTCCAGATGTACATCTCGCCGTCCCTTGTGGGCTCCACTATCCAGATCCAGTGATCCATCTCGTGGAAGTCCTCATCGACGGGGGAGCGAGAGGTTCGGAAGTGCCGAGTTTCCACCATGGGGTGGTCGGCCTTGAAGTGCCAGCGCACCTCGCCACGAACGCGGTCGGTGGCATACAGATCTCCGTCAACGGTCGCCAGAAGCACAAAGTCTTCCACTTCCCAGTCCTCCAAGCTCCGCGCAATCTGATGCTGCGAGAGCTCGGCCCCCAAGGAGCCGACCTTGTTGGATTGGGTCAGAGGTGCTCGAACGGACGAGTCCGGAGCAAGAGCGTTGGCGCGCGCATTGTTAGAAATCAAGTCGGCGTGGTTGTTGTTATTGGTGTTGTCGGATTGGGCATGGTAGCTCAATCGGATAGATTCGGTTTTGGGCCCGTCGGCGATCTCGACTACGGTCCGCTTGCCACGGCCGTGAGTTCGGGGCGTCTCGATGACGGGTTGGGGGCGACCTCCTGTCAGGGTAGACAAGGTAGCAATGTTGGGGACGGCATGATCGTCGTCCTCGCGGGGGGACCTCGCATGACGCTGCGGCTGAGCATCAACGAGTTGGAGCCATTGCAAGTTAACTAGGAGGAAAGCGAACGCCAGGAGGACTTCGGGCCGGCAAGCGACGTGGCCGGACGGCCGTCGCAACATCTTGGGGACAACAATGCGGATACTGATAGTGGTAAGGCCGAAGCAGACCTAGGAGTACATCCAAGGCAAGGACTGCCTATAGTCTTTGTTGGTGTTTTTTTTCTTTTTTCTTCTGGTGTGTGTGCGCGCGTAGAAATATGCAGGTCGCGGGGTGTGTTTCGGTGCGTGGAAGCCGTCGGTCGGTCGTGTTGGGGAGTGCGGTCTAGATATGTAGAGGCAGGCGGTGTCGGGTGGTTGCCGTGGAGTCCGTATGCGTGCGGGCGTCTGCTGGGCTGCGTGTGTTGGTGGGTAGAGTCTAGATAAATACTAATACCGGGTAGAGCTACCTCTAAGTATGTATTGCTTGTGGATGTTGGTTCCCTTTGGCGGAGTCGAGTTTGGTTAGGTTCAGTTGTGCGGTCTTGGCGCGGTCCAGAGCTCAGACCAAGTGTGGGTTTGTTTTGGCGGTGGGAAGAATTGAGGAAGAAGAGAAAGAGATGGTGAAAGGCCAATGGAGGAAAGGGTGGCAGATGGATTTGTATGGAAGCAGCTGGATTCCGACCCCTTTGTTTATGTGTGCCCGTGTGTGTGACTTGTACACTAGAAATCGGGTGGAAGGGAAGGGTTGCATGCAGTACAGGACATCCGATTATGTAGTACCTTTTGGCGTGTTTTATGCTAGCGAGATACTTCTGGCCGTGACGTCCTGCAGCGATGGGGCGGGTGAAAGGGAGAGAGGGGGTGGCTGAATAGCTGGCCGTTGAATAAGTACTAGGTAAATCACCCCATGCTTATAACGGAACAGATGGATGGATGGATGGATGGCTCCGATATAAAAAGCGACAATTCAACCACCATCTCCAACTGAACTCCCCACAATCACGTTCCGACTGCAGTGCCTCAAAGTTCGCTCCCGGTGCTGCCTGTGCCCTGATTACGCAGCGCAACGACGACTTAGTTGTAAGGGAGTCCTGGATAGCGAGCATGTGTCCGGGCAATCCGTGGATCCCTCGGTGCCTTTCCTTCGCCAGGGGACCCCTTCGAACCCCCCATCCAGCCTACGATTGAGACCCCATCTCGGATCGGCCCCAGCTATTGAAAACAATATCAGTTGATTGATTGATTGATTACGACAACGAGGTTCATCATCTACACTCGTTATTCCGCGTACGTATTACATCCATAGGGCGTCATAAGCGGCACTCAGCAAGAGGGTACACGATAACCCATTTCTCGAGGCTTCAGAGGTAACCAAGATACTCAAGGGAACAGCTGACCCGCAACCTCCCGTTTCGAAAATCACCGACGGCTGGCTAGACAGAGCATCAAGATGCGCCATGGATCACACTCCTGAGGATACTGACCTACTGTGCTCTTACTGTTCGTATCCGCACATTGCCCTATGTAGCAGATATTGATTCTCTCTCAACTACAAAAAGCAGCGAATCAAACGGTGCATGACCATTTCTGAACATTTGTGATCGATACCTAGAACTAGTTTTGCAGCTCCTGTCAACGACAAAGAGGGACGGATGGTGGGATGAAACGTCATCGCCCTGCCCTTGACGGAGGAGTGGTCCGGCGTACCTACAGCTGAGGCCTGGGACCACAGCGAGAGGATTCGAGCTACATCTACTGCCTGTACCTAAAAAGGGACAGAAATCACTGCAAGACGGGGGACACTGACCGCCCGAACCCCCCGCCCTCAACTAAAGTTCCCAAACCGCCGGTCCTCCGTTTTTGAGTTGCGTAAGCCGGGCACTCGGCACCTTTCCCACCTTTTAACTGAATCCCAGAAAATGTATCAAGTATTGATTGACTTCAAAGACAACACACATTGCACGTGGGTGTGTCAGATCTTTTTGCTTTTGAGTATTATTAAGCTACCTCTAGCCCCGTTTTCTTTATTTTCTCAATTCATCACCCACATATTCCAAACCCGTCAACAGTTCGTCCAAGCATCGTGACCCGACGCAGCGGGTACTAAACAAGCACTGCAAGAACTCGGACGGTGCCCGAGCTTCGACGGGAACGGGAGCGGGAAACGGCTGAGGAAGGAAAAAAACGGGGAAACGGCTCCACAGGGAGGTTCTTTGAAAACGACCGGGCTAGATCCGGGGACGTCGAACCCCTCGCTCTCAGACCCTCTCAACCCTTTTTCGAGTTTTGGACGGTTCGTCGACTTCTGACAGTACATAGGTTCTAGGGCAAAGGCCAGGCCACCTGGGGAGGGGAAGGTTATTCAACGAATCATGATCCTTCTTTTTCTTCCACTTCCGACGAGACAAGGGACGAGTCGTCATCACGAAACCTCAAGCTCAAGCCCTTGCTTGCCCTTGCTCTTGTCTCGAGTTGCTAACTTGCAACTGCTGAGACAGTGACCCCTAGTGACAGTTTGATGGTTTTGTAGGCATGAGCTGTTGTTGATCCTCACCATAACCGTTCACTCTTCGCCCGGGTTATTCATTCTTTGTGTTTAGCAGCCAGATATCATCATCATACCTAGCTAGATACCGTTGGGTATGTACACACGCGCACACAATGATATGTAATCTTGCAAAACTCGGAGCCATGCCCCAGTTTGTTCGTCCACTCTCTATCGAACACGCATATCAGCGACGTTCTGCAGGTTTTAGTCTTATATGTAGCCCCGTCGAAGAATGGAAGCGGGTCATGTCTCATGCACATGGATGTTTACCTACCTACACCTCCTTTTCTTTTCGGCCTTCAGCCTTCAACTGGCCAAGCACTTGGAACTTACCTGTCTGTGTGCATGTTAGAGAATTGTTGAGATGCAAGACAATGAATAACCAACCAACCAACCAACCAACCAAACTACCCAGACACCGACACACAGGTGGAAAAAAAAAAAGCATGACTGTGAACCAATGTAGGTAGTCCCAATGACGTGACTCTGCTTTGCTTTGCTTTGGCCCGCCCATGCTTAGGTACCAAAGTCGGAGAAATTCTTTTTTCTTTTTTTTTCTTTATTCCGACTTGCCAGTTCGATTCCGAGACCGCTCTTCCATCACAAACATTGCATCAAACATCAAGCAGAAGCACAAGCAGTCACGAACACATGCATACCTACCTACCTAGAGCATATACATATGCTCGTTAGTAGTTACCCCACTTGACGTATTGTACCTACTTTTCATATCGCATTCATCCCATCTCTTTTCATTCATTCAGTCATCCCATCCCAATTCGCTTCCTACACAGTAGTCTCTTGGTTTTCTTTCTTCTTGTCTTGCCGGTATTCTATCATCCAATCACATCATTAACAATCACATCTCCCTAGAACGGGGAACATTTTCCATCTGATCTAATTCCAACCACACACCCCGCGTTCCCTTGTCCCGATGATGAACGAAACTGTCTACATACAAGTAGTATAGATGCACCATAACCTGACATTTCTCCCCATCCGTTTCCCCATATTCCCCTTTCCGTCTTCCGAAACGAAAACAAAAACCTCAATCATGGCTGATATCCCGTCCCTAAAACTCCCACACATTGCCACACACCTATCAACAACCATCACAAAATTGAAGCATGACTCCCGACGATCTTGAATCATATAGGGTATCGGTGTAAACGAAACGCAACGCAACGGAGGAGTAGCTCGGGCCAGGCAGCCGAAATTGAAAGACCTCTACTTACAGTATCTGGGGAACATACCACACATATCACTATTAGCGACAGTGACGTTGTGTGACTTGACTCGATGCCCTGGAGGGTGGGTGGTACATAGTTCAACGAAGACAGCTGTCAAGTTCTCTCTCTCTCTCTCTTGTTCCCTACACTACCTACCTTACCTACCTACTTACGTACCTACATGGGCAGACAGACAGACAGACGCGCGTATTGCATACGTATGACTGACTGGCTGGCTGTCACCCCGTCATTAAACTCGTTCCTGCATTCGTGTTATCGTAGATCATCATCCCTCACTTCAGTTCTTGGGGACAACTCGGTAGCCATTTCACAACGAAAGAAAGAGAGAGAAAAAAAAATAAAAAAATCCGGGGTACATCGTCGTCGGTACTATGCGGCAAAATGATTTCGTTCGCTACATGGTCCGGGCCTGCTATGAATGGTTCTTCTTTGTTTCAAAGCTACCTATCGATGTAGGCCCTGGTTTTTGAAGACCTCCTCTGCTTCCTATATGTCACGTCTTCCTCCAGAGTGTATGTGGTCTCAGTCTGCTTTATTGTAATATTTCCAGTCGATGATACTTTGGACATCGCTTTGCTATCGGGAGTATGTATGCCTCAACCTTGGATGCATCCTCCCACTACATAGCCACCCATTCACTACCAACATTCATATCTTATCCTTCCTAAGTCTGAGGAACTTAACCCCACTGCACCAAAACCTGCTTCTTCTGCTTCTTCTTGCCCTTCCCACCACCAGCGCCATCCGCATCACCTTCACCACCAGCCTGTTGAGCCGAAGACGAGCCTGACGCACCGCCGCTTCCGCTTCCAGCGCTCCAGTTAAATCCCGTCTCCTTGGGCTGACCAAAGTCTCTCCGTACCGCACCTCTGCCGTAACCGAACAGAGTAGTGGTTGGCTTGGGCGCCGCAGGAAGTGCCGGGAAGGCGTCCTCGTTTCCGGGCTTCTGCATACTGCCACTGCCACCGGCGACCTTCCTGGCGATGGTGGTCGCCGTGCTGCCGCTGCTTCGCGAAGCAGAAGGGGCAGCGACGGGAGCGGGACGAGATGATGAGGACCCACCGGCTGCGGCCGCAGTAAAGCCGGACAAGCCTGATGCGGTGGCGGGCTTCTTGGCTCCAGGAAGAGCAGGGAACGCCGCCGAGTTGTTCACGGTGGAACGTACCTGGGCGGCGTAGGCGTTGGTACCGGGCACGAGCCTGCTCGAGCTGCTGCTACTCGACCCACCGGCCTGGAGCGAGGCGACTGTCCGCTCCAGGCCACGCTCGCTAGCGCCGCCTATCCTGGTGCTGTTCTTAAGCTTCAACACGTGGTTGGAATGTCGTGACTGGGCGTTTGCTAGACCTCCGTTGGAGTGTAAAGTAACCGGGGTCGCCGATGCGGCGGCCGCCCATCCGCTGCTTGCTGTTGTAGCTCCATGCATACCACCAAGGCCAGGAAGACTGGGGTAGTCCTCGTTGATGGTGCGGTGGTTTTGCCATGCTCGGTTGAGAGATGCGCCCTTGTTCTTGTCATCGAAGAGCTCAGCAACCTCGCGCACTAGAGTACCTAGTGCATTGGATGAGGTCTCGGAGAAGAGGGCGAAGAAGGCATCGATCAGCTGGTCAGCAGTCATCGAGCCCTTGTTGAAATTCGAGATATAAGATCGAAACTGGTTGATCTTGGTGGCGTCGTTGCCAAGGAGGTTCGAAGCACGTTCAATCACCGCACCGTGCCGCGTAAGACTAGCGCGCTGCTCAGGAGTAAGAGACGAGAGTTCGGAAACGCTAAGGTTTTGCATGGCATCAATAATAGGCTGTTGCTGTTGCTGTTGTTGCTGCTCCCGTTGCTGTTGGGGTCTGGACGGTCGTGACTGAACCACAGATGTCTGTCCGGCTGGACGAGTGCCGGAAGAAGGACCCGCGCTCGGACGAGCAGAGGATGCTGACTGGGCAATAGCCATTTGCCGCTGGAAAGCAAGCTCGTCTCTTCGTAGAGGCTGAGCAGTACTGACGGGCAATGCCTCGGCATTAGGATCCCGACCGCGTGCGCCTCGTCCGTCTCTTCCCCCGCGACCTCTGCCGCCACTGCTGCTGCCGCCACGCTCCTCCTGGTATGAAGATCTAAAGTCGAAGCCAGAGATATCGACCACGCGTGCGTCTCTCCTTACGTCCTTGGACAACGAGTTTCCGTGCTCGCTAAGCTGGTGAGCCTTCAGATCCAGCTCGCTGTCAAAAACGACAAACTTCTTTTCCAGACATTCCCGTTCCTGGCAAATATAATGATCCTGCTTGAAATGCTCCTCCAAAGCATCGTAGTTCCGATAGTAATGCGGTTGGCGAGAGTCGCGACGGTCACAAATGAAGCATCTCTCATGCTTGCTGCGGCAATGTTCGTAAAGCTTGTCGTTATCATAGAATCTTTCGCCGCAGAAGCCGCAGAGCGGATGTCCCTTAAATCCAGTCTGGTCAACAGCACCAGGCTTATCGTCGCCGCGGCTCATGTGGTCGCGTAGCTCCTTATCGGTAAACATTTCGTGCTCGTGCGTGAAGACCTTCTTGTTCCTCGTACACAGGTCACAAAGCTTCTTATGGTGAACAGAGCGCACATGGCGATGCAGATCGGGCCAACCAAGACCGGCAAAGTCACACTCTCCGCCGGGGCAGTTGTACCGCAGGAGAAGGACAGTATCCCCAACAATGTGCTCGCCCGCGTACTTGATCCCGATGTTGTCATCCGTACTTGTGATCTCCTTGCTCGTGTACTCTTCAAAGCGTTTATTGGGGTCGTCGGTAAAGATAACGAAGGGAGCGGCAGTCTGGACGTTTACGCATGTCAGCAGCTACCCAAACCAAACGGGACCTAATGTGTCTCGAATGACTATACTCACTCGGCAATGCGGGCAATCCTTGTTCTTATAAAGTGCCCTGAGTCGCAGGGCGCAGAGATGGCATGTCGAATGGCCGCAAGGCGCAACAGAGTGGTGGGTGATGGGGTTGGCACAGATAAAGCAGACCTCGGCGTCGTCGTCGTCTTGTGCTTCCTGCTGCTGTTGTGTCTTCCACTGGGTGGGGTTGCTGTCGCCGGATGAGCTGTCCTGCGCAGGTGTAGGTGCCGCACCCTGTTGTCCTCCACCTCTGCTCTTTCCACGGCCAGCGCCACCGCGACCAGCACCATCACCACCACCCCGACTGCGGTTGCCTCGAGCTGCTCCGCGTCCTCGGCCTCTGCCCCGGTTGCTGTCGCCTCTAGGTCCCTGAGGGGTTGCTTGCTCCGCTGAAGACATGATTTCGAAAGATTTCGACCGATTGAAGAAAAAAAAAACTCGTCACTGCTACCCTGTTGTGGTGATGGTGTGCTTAGAAATGGCTCGCTGTTGGAAACTCGTTGGTATGAAGGGGGCTCTAGGATTTTTGCAGTCTTCGTGGGGGGAAGAGGCTTGCGAGATACTGTGAGAGGAAGAACAAATCCCTACAACTGTTTTTGAATAGGGATGATGTAACGATTGGGAGACAGTTGGGCCAACTTGGGTCGGTAGCAGAAAGAAGGGCCGGAATGATTGAATTGAAAGTGTTGACGTTGATGGTGGGGTCCGGGAGCTTCCAGCATTTATTCGCTTACCTAGCAAACCGCCGTGGCCCGATAATTTCTTGTAGCGCCTCCCCTCAAGTGCCGCCCCAAGCAAACCAAAACTCGTGCAAATTGCCGGGGAGTGCGACTCCGTCATCATCACAGGCGCGTACACAGTACCCCGAGAAAGCCAACATCCATGCCTCCCGTCGCGTTGCCTCCACGATGCTCGGTTCGTACCGGATACCAATCCTACCAGAAATTGAGCCAAACAGAACAGTGGCTGGGCAGGGGTAGTTAGCGCATAGTATCTGTTTGGCGATCTTCAGGTCCATGACGGAGTGGCTCAGCTTCGATGGCATTGGCCGATTCGATCGAGACTACACTGCTCGGCAACGAGCGTCGGGGAGTCACTCCCCGGATTTGCATTATCTGGCCTCTCGCATGGAGAATGATTCATTCTGATTTATGCCGTAAATGTAACGGCGGTGCCGACATCTTGTTGGTTACGGCGAATCTTTCTTGGCATGCTTGACTATGGCGACCGTATAGGGGCAATTAGTACATAACATACCCTGCAGTCCCCTTTTTAAGTGACTGGCTATCGGCTTCAGCCTTATGGTGACATTGGAAGTGCATGTGAGAAGGACTGCTGTATTTCTCAAGTACGGACACAAAGGAGAAAGATCGCTGACGTCTCGCCATGCCTGTTTTCCCGTTCCCTATGGTAGGTCACCATGATACTAAACACCACCATAAAATGCTAAGAGATGAGCTGATGAGGATATGCACCTCCATTCTCCAGAAAGAAAGTTTGACACCAGAACGAGCAGCCCTACCCAGCCGTCGACCGCTGGTGATAGGGATGACTCAAACTCGGTCACCGTTCTTCCTCTTCCTACTTGTCGGTTGAGTGCACGCTATAAGCGAGGCACGTTAACCTAACCGACGAGTAACCCTTCCGACCTACTCATAACCTGTGTCTGCCTCCAAATTGGTATGACTGGGGTAAGAGAAACCCCCCTTGCGCCCCTGAGATAGTCTCAAAGACAAACCCAGCAAATAGAAAAAACCGAGAAAATGCGCTATCCCTTTCATACACCTCTCTCCTATCAACCCTCAAACCATGAAAACGAGACGTACTGTGGTATACTAGTAGTTCCGAAGCCCCAGAGATTTTCCAATGACGCCATGCACGCCCAGCCTACTGCCTAGTCCCCAATGACCCAATACCAACGGGAGGAGCCCTTTCATCCCAGATCAGAACGTGGAATTCTACTCTTCAATCGGATACAGCTGGTTGCCGAGGAGCTTGTTCATTTGGAACATGTTGATTGAGCTCTGCTTGAATACCGCCTGAAGTTTTTCGTCGCAAATAATCTGTCTCTTGTCGCTGGGATCCTGCAACTCGTTCGCTTTGATATGCTCCCAGAGTTTCTTGACTACCTGTGGGCGTGAGAGCTGTGATGAGGTTAATTTTCTGTTCACGGCCTATTGGACAATGACCACCAACCTGAGCTTCTCCGCAAACTTCCTGGAGAGGGTAACTTAGGTTGAAGGGCTTCTGGAAACCGCCACCGGCCTTGCGCTTCTTGGTCCCTTCCACCTCTTCGGGCTCCATGTCACTATCGTCGTCGGACTTGACCCGTGTTGCGCTCTTCTTCTTTGGTGTCTTGGCCTTGGGTTTGGACTTCTTGGTCACCTTGGCTGCGCCTCCACCTCGTGTTCGGGGTCCGCGAGAGAGCTTATTCTCCTGCGCTTGGAGTTCGGCAGCCAGGCGAGCGTCGGCATCCTCTGAGCTTTCGCGCTTTTGTTGCTTCTTAGGCCGGATCTCGATCTCGCCATCGGTAGCAGCGTCATCTTCGTCGCTATCAGGAGTCGCCTCGGGAGTCGCCTCTTCGGGTGTTGGCTCTTGGGCAGCCTTGCGTGCTTGCGCGGCGTCGAATCGGGCTTCTATCAAGCCTTTGATGGCATGCTATACGGAGTCCAGAACTATCAGCAGCTGATCGAACAACCGAAACCGGGGAGAGTGCTAGGAGAGCATTGGGGTTTCAAATAGAAGCAGCAAGCCAATGCAGCAGACAAGGCGGGCTTTAGCACTGACCTTTTGGTCACTTAGATCCTTGTTTATGGCCGCTTCCATTTTCTGCCGAATGGCCTTGCGAGAAATTGTATCGAGGTCGGCAGTTTCGAGAATTTCATCGATGACGCGGGCGTAGGTCGCCTCCTCCTCGGGAGTAACTAGACCGAGTTAGCATAGTTCCATTCGGTAGGGGAGACAAGCTTGGGCGATATTCCTACATTGCGCGGACATGTTGCCGGTGGTGTAGCACAATACATCCACTGACGGGAGAAATTGGGGATGATTGGGTGCGGTGTCCACTAGAACCTTGTGGTGTTCTAAACTGAAGCTGGGCTGGCAGATGATGTAAGGGCTGGTAGCTTCAGTGGATGGAATAGCTTCCGCCCTGACGAGATGTTCGGGTAGGAATAATTCTTGGGTGAAGGAAAGTAAACAGCTGCGATTAACAGGTCGCCGACTGTGGCCTAGTTAAACAAAGCAGGAAGTTTGCGGGCGCGACAGCTGACTTTGTTTCAACGCGACAACAGAATGGCCGTTCTTTGCTGTCCGAATTTGGACTTGAAAGACAGGATGCGTATGGGCCGCGGTTTGAACAGCTGGGGGGTCAGGACGCTCAAGATACCGGACAAGAAGCGCAAAGTAGCAGGTTAGGTTTGTCGCTCAAGTAGGGGCGCTTGGAGCAAAAGCCGGTGAAGATGATGATACGCTACGAGTTGGTCGCGAAAAGGGAAAGGATGAGTGACCGATCAGTGATGGATGATCGAATCATCCAAGACACGACAGAATTGGTTCAAACCTCGGGAGTTGGAGCGGAGGGAAGAAGAAAAAAAGAAATATAAAAAAAGGCCACGTCCTGCCGGCTCAATTGTGTCGAGTATATGCCGGGTGCCCTGATGTGACAGGTATAGAGTAGGGATGCTGCGATGCGATGCGGTTGTGTGATGCCTGCGATCGCGTACGGTGGAGAGAAGGTGTTGAGTTGAGCCTCGAGACGTGTAGGCGCACAAGCAGCGAATTGCAGATTCAGCAGTTTCTTCTTCCGATGCAGATGGCCAGCCCAAGCATGGAAGCGCACGATGACCTCAGGTACCTGAACAAGTTCTGGAGTGGAGTTCTAGCTGAGAGATGCGATTCCTTTACCGTGACATTGCCGTCGCGGTCTTCTGTTCAGTTCATTGCAGGCAGTGTCTTGCGGCGGCGTCCGGGAGTCTCAGTCCAGTGAGGTCGGTCGCGGTGTTGGTGGTCCACGGTCCGCCAACTGTCCGCCAAAACCGGAAGAAGTGAGGCTGCTTTGTGGCTGATTTGCGACGGTGATTGGTTCCACACTTAGCTTCAAGGGCCCCACCTACGGTTCCGTCTGCCGTCCCGGCTCGTCTGAGATGGAAGGAAAGTGGGGTGGTGTTCAGAGCGGCGATCCCATTTCTAGCCAATCAGCAGACCGAATTGCCCACCACTTGCTCTCAGTTCGCGCTGCCGCAAATCTCCACGCCGGTGGCCGATGGCCGGAATGCGGGCAGCCACGTGATGCGGAAGCCAGTGTTCAATGCCGCCGGAGGACCCTTCGTCTAACAACTCCTAAGACTTTCCTCTTTCGTCCAACTTACACAATGGAGGGAGAGTCGACTTGATTATGTGTGATCACTCTACGTAACAATGTCGATCTGGATGGCACCATGGAATGATAGGGACGAGAGATGCTATGGAACCCCTTCCCCTACGTGATTTGGTCTACCTAGCCTTTGTATCTCCCTCGTCCATTGCTGTTTTGGACGATCCATGGTCAGTCGTGGGAAGGGAATCCGAAGGGAATCTCAATCGATACATCTCAGTCGGTCAACCCACCACGCCTATTCACTCTCTTGGGATGAATATCGACGTCACCCACCACCTTTGCTCAGTTGGCACTCGACAATCCGCATCAACCAGACTAGGCATATCGCAAAGTTTACGCTTAGAATAAGAAAGAGTATCGTTGCCAAGTGGCCCGTCGTACGCAAAAGGCTCCAAGATGTAAAGTAGACTGGAATGTTAGATGGCCAAGTCTAGATGCAGGGACGAGTGTTGATTCAGAACTCCAATACCGAGTTGAATGAGTATGATATGCTGGAACATCCCCAGTTCAGTGCGGCGTGGGATATCTAAAACAATGTCTTGCGCTGAGGAAGGAGGATGGGGAGAGACAAGAGAAAGCTCTCCTGGAACTTCGCAGAGCGTGGATGGTGATGCAGTGATATATCCGTGTAGAGGTACCTATCAGCAAGGCTGCAAATACAAGGATTTTCATAGAGGAGAGGAAGAGGTTAGGAACGACCTGCATAATGCACTCCCGTGACATCAAGTTGTCGTGTTCAGTTCTTGTTGCTAAACAAATGCGATACCAAGAGTCCATAATGTATATAGAGCGAAAGACGAGTGGCATTCCAGACAATTTCATCTCAGCTGGGAACCCTTTCCACCCTATGTACTACTGGAGGACTTTTAGCCAGTCTTTTCTCGCCTGATGCGACACGAGCCTCATGTCCTACTTACTACGAGAATGGGCGTGGATAGCCACCATCTCGGGACCGAGCCTGGTCGCCAATGAGATCAATGTCAAACAACCCGACCAAGAAGAAACGGAAGGAAGACTTCTTCTCTGCGTTCTTGTAGAAAGTGTTTCCATCTCCCTCACCCGAAATCCCGGATTGGTACATTTGAGCTGACATTGTCATTATTCCGTGCAAGACTGGATCCGCGCGCTCGTCTAACGTGCCGTCCCTTCATCACAAAACTCTATTAATACTCGAGCATATTTTGCGGTGAATCTTCGCACAACATAGCCATGTTTCACATACAGCTCCTCCAGTCGGTGTCAAGGACAATTCATCCACCATTTGACTACATGGCCCGTATGCATCCAAATTACACAAGAAGACCAGAATCAATTCTAGAAGACAAGGATTTCCACGACTTACGCGGCTTCAGGCGACTAAACAATGCTGTGTTTCCGGACTCCCGAATCCATCAGCGGATTACCCCACGGCACGACGGACTCAAGGCGAAGCGTGGTATCTCAAGGGGAGAGAACAATTGGTAGTCTTGTTCGTGATTACTACTACGGCGCAGCAATCTGCCTTCCGTTCGGTGACGAGGTCTTGATGAAGCTCCGGGCTGGGCCTCCTCCATGCCGGTCCCCGGAATCATCCCATCGTCCCGATTCGGTCTTTATCATGTCCCGCTCTCCGCCAAACCAAAGGTTTCGAACCTTCCCCAAAATACTACTGAAGCAGCCAAGCAATTCGCAGTACCTGTAAGTAGTATTTGCTGTCTAAGACAGTTCGTTGCAGCTGTTTCCTTGGTCCGGGACTTCGGTCACCGGTGACAATCGTTACAGATTGTCCGACATACACAACGACGGGAACAACGACGGCTTTTCAAGCCTCACTCACAACTAGAAGGAGAGCTCCAGTCATGGTCCGCAGAAATGGATCTCGAGTAAAGCAAATATATAAATCCCCACGATATTCCTATCCCAAGTACCTAGGCTTGCGCATCATCTTCTCTAGCAGACGAAGCACAGAATTATAGGAACAATCCCACCAACCTAAAGCTATACCCCCAAGTACAACTCACTACTTAGCTATCATCATGTCCACCGCCGCCGCAATCCCCATCGCTTCCTTCGGCAACAACCCCGAGGTCGCTCAAGCCATTCGCGAAAAGCTCCTTCCAGAATATGACGGTCCGTCCATCCCCATCCCCATACCCTTTCCACCACGTCCACACCCATTGCCATCGTTACATCCACAATTACTTCCACCTCCTGCTCAGTTTCTCTCAAACTAACCACCCCGTTCCCCTCCCCTACTAGTCGTCCACACAACCCTCACCCTCTCCACCTCCCTCTCGGAACTCCCCCCTCTCTGCACCGGCACCTTCTCCCACCTCCCCTCGTCGAACCTCGGCTCCAACGCCACGGCCGCCACCCCAGCCGACCTCAAGGTGCCCAAGGCCATCATCTTCGGCGGCGGCGTGTCCCCTTCGGACGCCGAGCAAGTCAAAGAAGCGGTGCTGGCCAAGAACCCAGACATCAAGTTCGTCCGACTCACGCGGGAGGATATGGTCGCCGCGGGGGCCGAGGGGCCGGATCCCGAGGTGATTGGACGCTTGTTGAAGGAGAGGTTGGCGGGGGTTTTGGCTTGAGGCTTCGTTGGAAAACAACTGAACCTACTTAGTTCATGTTTGGTGTGGTTCGGGATGGGGGTTGCTATGCTGGAGATGATGAAGGAGGGTGGAATTCTCTTCAGTGGGGAGTTTTTGTTACAAGGGGATAGGTGCCTAGGTCAGGTTGGGATGAAGTATTTGAAGGGGGGGTCGAATGGAGGATTAGAGGGGGGTTTCCTACCAGAAGCTGTAGGAAGTGTGTTCCTAACGCTGTCAATCATGAGAATATGACACTCCTTCCCTGATGTATCGTCGAATAACGTTGAATGAGGTAATGTCGGTATGCATCTGAATGGACGATTGGTAGATCTCACTCCGTCACAGACATAAGAAATGATATTACATACACGATGAAAGACTTGGTAGTCAAGTTAGGCGGCAGACATGAGATGGCGTGGTTATTAGTTTTAGGTCTCTGCTATATCAGTTGTGGCCTCATTTGGCGCACGGCATGACATCGTGGTCTGACATCAACAAGAATCAAAGGTCGGGCTAGTATTGGGACGGCGAGACCACACACCATCAAGCATTCAGCACTGCTATGCTCAAGGTCATTTACATAGTCTGCTCTCCATCAACTCTCCTCGTCCATCAAAAAGTACAAGTTTAGTGCCTCTCCCGCCTCCTGGGGGCCGCTCTTATTATGTCGTCCACACGCAGAAGCAACTATTCACGATGGTTAGCAAGCTTGGGACCGTATCGATCAAAGAAAAGGGATTACATACCTCAGCGGCTTCACTGGCCGAAGAAACGACAGCCTTCTTGAGCTTGTAACTTTCAATAACACCCAAGTCTCTCATATCGGCGATACCGCCTCCTGGTGTCATGAGATCCAAACCATAGGTGGTCAGACCGTCATAGATGGCCTTGCGCAAACGGGCAACAAGGTCACCAGAATCCAGACCAGCGTTGTCGGCCAGGATGGTAGGCAGTTGCCTGAGAGCAGTGGCGAAGGCAGACACAGCGGTCTGTTTCTTGCCCTCAACCCGAGTAGCAGCACCCTCAACAGCCTTGGCCATAACCATCTCAGCGCATCCACCACCCAATGTTGTCCTGGACTCCTTGACGGTCTGTGAAAGAACGGCAAGAGCGTCGTGCAAACTTCTCTCGGCTTCGTCAAGCAACTGATCGGTAGCACCACGGAGAACGACAGTGCAGGCCTGGCCGGCAGCCGTGCCGGAGAATCTGATAAGGGTATCCTCGCCAATAATAATCTCCTCAATCAAGTCGGCATATCCAAGTTTGACCTGCTCCGGGTGGTCGAAGGTAGAAGCGATTTCACCGCCGGTAACGAGAGCAAGGCGCTCAATGCCATCGAAATCGGCATGCTCGATCGACATGATGCCGGCATCGGTGAACAGCTGCTCGGGCCAGTTGTAAATCAACTGCCTGTTGATGAAGCAGTTGATGCCGTGCGCCTTGATCTTCTCAACCTTGGCCTTCATCTTCTCCTTCTCGGCCTTCTCGAGCTCAGCGAGCTTGCTGGTAGAGTTGACCTTGACGCGCGCACCAAAGATCTTGACCTTGTCGGTATCCATCGATGTGTTGGCGATAAGGATCTTGGCCTTCTCGAGGCGCTTGGGCTGGTTGACACCGATCTTCTTGTCGAGAATAAAGCCATCGTCGAGGTATGATTCGCTGAGCTTGCCACCGGACTTCTTGATGATCTGGATGTGGCTAAGGTCGGCGGAACCCTTGAGGCGCAGAATGGCCTCGGTCGCGAGCTCGGCAAAGTGGTCTCTGTCTTGGGCAAGAATCTTGGAGCTGAGTGTCGTGCGCGCGATGGCGACAAGGTCTTTCCTGAACGCCTCGGGGTTGCTGCTGTGGTCAACGGCAGAGTCCTCGAGGGCCTTGAGCGCAGTCTGGCTAGCTATCCGGTAACCCTCGATGATAGTCTGAGGGTGGATCTTCTTGTCGACAAGCTTCTCGGCCTCGCGCAAGAGCTCGGCGGCAAGGACGGCAACCGAGGTGGTGCCATCACCGACTTCGTCGTCCTGGACCTTGGAGATGTTTACGAGGACCTTGGCCGCGGCGTTGTCGAGAGCGATAGACTTGAGGATGGTAGCACCGTCGTTTGTTACTAGAATCTCACCGGTCGAGCTGGATGTTGTGATGGTGCGGTCAGCACATGACGGCGGCGTGTCAAGCATGTAGGCGGGGGGTTCGGTGAACAAGCATACGCAGACTGGAGGATCTTGTCCATGCCCTTGGGACCAAGGGTGCTCTTGACGAGGTCGCCAACAGCAATGGCGCCGACGAAGGCGCTGAGACGGGCATTCTCTCCCTTCTCTTCTGTGGTGCCCTCCTCGAAGATCTGGGTGGGGCTAAACGAGGCCTGGAGATGATCGGGCGCTTGGTCAGTTACGGTGAGCTCGGAAAGATACCCAAGGTGGTACAAATCAACTTGCCATGATGTAGAAGAAGCTTAAGTATTAGACAAAAGGTCGGGGTTACGGGGTGCACAGGGGGTTGAGGTTGGAAGAGAAGAAGAAGCAATTGAAGCTTGGTAGTACTATATTTTGGGTGGACGTTATGGATACCCTGAACGCGAAGCCTCCTTTCTACAACAATCTGCCAGCAGCGGGACGGATGATGCTCTTCTGAATTCCAGGCACTTTTTGGACGGCAGGCCACGGCAAAATTCCAGAGCTTCCTGTTCCTCCTTTACCTCACCGCCTGCGACAGGTGGCATAAAATGCTTGTCACTCGCATGCCAGGCCGTTTGCCCCTCCTTTGACAGACAAAATGTCCACTTGAGGTGGGCAGCAGGGGACCCCACTTGGACGTCTTCCGTGGGGAAGGAAGAAAGGGGGGGGGGGGGAGGGGAGCTTTGGGCTGGCAGCGGCGGCGGCGGTGGATAGGGGTGGACAGCGCAGCCAGCACTTTGAGAAGGAGCCCAGCCCAGGGGACTGCCGTCGAGGCTCAAAGCCAAAGGGAATGAGACCTGAATCGCCCGGTGCAACGACTCGGAACGAACCACCACCTGTAGTCCACTTTCTTGACTTCAAAGTGATGGCAACCTGAAACCTGTGAACTCTGCTGAAAGCGGACAGACGTTGCCATGGTCAATATTTGTTCCGTGCACAAACGAACAATGCTTAGCCCACTGCCTGCCGCCATTCTCTTGTGAAAAAGAAAAGGAAGCCAAAAAAGTTACCTAAAGTTGATGAAGAACAGCCCGAGACAGCATCGAGAACTTAACTTTCCCAGGCTGAGGGTTCATTGCAACTGTGCAATATCCATGATATCTGAGGCTCTTCTTTAACCTCCAAACTATCCACCCCATCATTGCATTCACTGACATAAATTCCCATTTTGGCGATTCAAGAGAGAGGGGATCTGGTAGGGTAGCCAATCACCGTGCATCATCGCTTCTTAAAGTGGGGTATTTCCCTCACTGTCTTCCCTGGTTCTCTGGCCGTTCTCACTGAACCCCACCACAATCTGCGCGCTGCGCACAAATTCTCACAATAATCCTGACGACCGCATAAGCCAGCACGTTGTTCCACCCGCGGCATCGCAGAAAAAATCCGAAGCGGCCAGCCCAGAATCCCGTCATCCACCAAGTCCAACCACCACCACCACCAGAGGCGCCTTCCCGACCCGTACATCGCCAGCTACCACTAATTCCCGGCACCCACCAAGCATAACAGACTGCCGATTAATTGCCCAGCATGGCGCCCTCTTTCGACCACCTCCGCGACGAGGACCTCGACGAGGATGACTTCGATGTTGATGAGGTCGACATTTCCGATATCCGCGAGAAGTACGAGGTTCAGCTTGAGCAGGGCTACGATGCCTTTGTCGTTGTCGATGGCCTCCCCGAGGTCAACGAGGAGCAAAAACCCAAGCTCGTCAAATTCTTGTTGAAGAAGCTCAACACTGTTGGCAAGACCCGGGAGGACCTCATCTTCATGCCCATGGGCGAGGATGGAAAGTCGCTGAGGTATGCAACACAGCCGCCGCCTTCAAAATGATGCGCATCTACAGACCGGCCATCCATCGCTGCGCCCGAACCGCGATGTGTCCCTATGCTGTGTGCATGTTGGCTCGCCGACCAGGCCACTGATATGAATTTTGTAGGTTCGCCTTTGTCGAGTACTCGTCGCCCGCCGAGGCCGCTGCCGCCTGCAGACAGCTCGACCTCGTCCCCCTCGACAAGAAGCACACCCTCCGCGTCAACAAGCTTACCGATGTCGACCGCTATGGTCGCGAGGGCCGTATCGATGACGAGTACACTCCTCCCAAGATCGAGGAGTTCCAGGAGAAGGAGCACCTCCGCTCCTTCATGGCCGACCCCAGCGGCCGCGGCAGAGATCAGTTTGTCATGTTCAGGGGAGAGTCCGTTGGTGTTTTCTGGAACAACGAGAAGGAAACGCCCGAGAATGTTGTCGACCGTCAACACTGGACCGAGACCTTTGTGCAGTGGTCGCCCCTCGGTACCTACCTCACCTCCGTTCACGCCCAGGGTGTTCAGCTTTGGGGTGGTCCCTCGTGGACTAGGCAGAGGCGTTTTGCCCATCCTTTTGTCAATCTTGTCGCCTTCTCTCCCAACGAAAAGTACCTTGTCACCTGGTCCAACAGGCCGATTTCGATTCCCGAGGAGGGTCACCCCGCTCTTTCTGTAGAAGACGACGGCAAGAACTACGTTATCTGGGATATCGAGACCTCCAAGCCCCTTCGTTCTTTCGCCCAGCTCGACACCCCCGCCGCCGCCGCCGAGGGCGAGGCTCCCAAGAAGGCCCCCAAGTTCCCCTGGCCCGCCTTCAAGTGGTCTGCCGATGACAAGTACGTCGCCAGGCTGAACCCCGGCCAGTCTATTTCCGTCTACGAGCTTCCGAGGATGAACCTGTTGGACAAGACCGCCATCAAGATCGAGGGCGTTGTGGACTTCGACTGGGCTCCCGCCACCGTGCAGCGCGACGGTGTCAAGTCCTACGAGCAACTTTTCTGCTTCTGGACCCCTGAGATTGGCAGCAACCCCGCCAGAGTCGGCTTGATGAGTATCCCCTCCAAGCAAGTTGTCAGGTCACTGAACCTCTTCAGCGTCTCGGATGCCAAGCTCCACTGGCAGTCCGAGGGTGCTTACCTGTGCGTCAAGGTTGACCGTCACTCCAAGTCCAAAAAGTCTCAGGCTACCACTCTCGAGATTTTCCGTGTCAAGGAGAAGGGCGTTCCTGTGGAAGTTGTCGACACCATCAAGGATACCGTAATAAACTTTGCCTGGGAGCCCAAGGGCGACAGGTTCGTTATTATCACCACCACCGAGCCTGTCGGTGCCACCGCGGTTCCCCCCAAGACGTCGGTCGCTTTCTTCTGCCCTGAGAAGGCCAAGGGCAATGCTGTTGGAAACTTCAAGCACCTCCGCACTCTCGAGAAGAAGAACAGCAACGCCATCTACTGGTCGCCTAAGGGACGCTTTGTAGTCGTTGCCACTGTTGCCAACACTCAGAGCTCTGATCTCGACTTTTACGACCTCGACTTCGAGGGCGAGAAGCCCGAGTCCGACAAGGACCTTACCGCCAACCTTCAGCTTATGAACACCGCTGACCACTACGGTGTCACCGACGTTGAGTGGGACCCCTCGGGTCGCTTCGTTGCCACCTGGGCTTCCGCGTGGAAGCACTCTGTAAGTACCATTGGCACCCGATAAAGATGACGTGCAGTAGGAATCACTAACACGAACCAAAAACAGATGGAGAACGGATATCATCTGTATGACTTCAAGGGTGAGCAGCTGCGCGAGGAGGCTATCGAGAAGTTCAAGCAGTTCCAGTGGAGGCCGCGCCCCGCTACCCTCCTTAGCAAGGAGGAGCAGAAGGCCATCCGCCGCAACCTCCGCGAGTACTCGAGGGTCTTCGAGCAGGAAGACGCCGAGCGCATCAGCAGCGCCGACGTTGCCGTTGTCGAGGCCCGCCGCCGCATCCTCGAGGAGTGGTTCGCTTGGCGCGAGGCCATCAGGCAGGAGGTTGCCGAGGAGCGCGAGATCTACGGCCTTCCGGCGGATCCCGTTGCCGACCTCATCAAGGCCAAGACCCCCGAGCTCGCCACCGACCAGGAGGAGCAGGTCATCGAGGAGATCATGGAGGAGGTGTTGGAGGAGACCGAGGAGATCGTTCAGTAAATGTGCGAACAGGCGGCGGCAGTAGTTTGATATGTTGTGAAGTTACATGGCGTACCGTTTTTTCCCGTTTTTCGAAAAGGTCATCTGAGGGTACAGTGAATAAAATGAACCGGGTTCTTTCATATCTCTGGGCCTTATTTTATTTTATTTTTGCTCTCTTCTTTCTACGTTGTACCTGTCTGGTTGTTATAAAAGCGGTGCATGCGTAGACTAGGCGGTGGATTCCAAAAGAGCTGTTAGGTTGGCGCTTTAGTATCATTCTGGTTTTCGTAGATCGGAGTCAGACTTCTTCTAATGTCCCAAAGTCCATCCTGCTTAAGTGAAGGAGGGTTCGTCGATCTTTAAAAAAACTATGTAATGGTGAACCAGCCACATCGTTTGATACCCCTAAAGAGCAACGACAAAACCGGTCCCTTTGTGTTTCGCAAAGGACCGAACCCAAAGAGATCTATTGCACGGAGAGCGAGCATGTGGATATGATATCTTGTCCAACAAGCCCCTCGTGATGATTCCCCTTCAATCCCAATGGATCGTACATAATTGTGGTGCGTCCGATAAGCAGAAAA